GATTGATTCATGAATTTAAAGGAAGAAAACAAGTATAAAGACTTGATAAGATGACATAGACTTCAAATCTGTATATGCTTTTATCCAAATATATATGAATTGTCGATTTCTTCAGCACGTGTGATGAGTCTCAGAAGAATAATGATAAATCATCATATGCCCTTATTCAATTAAGTTTGTTAAAAGCGCATTTGAATCGTTCATTGCAGTAAATGTGTATTTGTATCAATGATGCAAATGGTTCAGAATTACTTTTATGTCCGTAATGAAATCTGTGTGGACTTCAATTGTTGAACACAATTAAACAGATGTAAGTTTGTATGATGTCAAATTTGACATTTTAATTGAAGTGGAAGAAACATTTTTTGATCTCAGAATTGTTTCTCAAATGTTGATAACTGATCAATGAAAATGGTGCAACTTATCAAATGATATACTGTTTAATTAGAAAATAGAAAGAATATATCCTCTAAAGTGCTTTTTGAGTGTAATGATTTGAAGATGATGATTTTTAGACATTTCCATAGACTGTCACATTTACCATGATTTGTTTTACTGTTTGTGCTGTTTTATTTACTCTCATTCACTTTTATTGTTAAAATGGCAAATTTTCTAAGAAAGAGACAACAAACTTGTAAGTTCTTAATATAATTGCATAATAAGGAATATTCATATAAAGTGGTGTAATCTAACTACATCACTAAAATGTTTGATGAAAATCTTTTAATACGTTCAAGATACATGAAGCAGTGTGGTTGTTTCCATCAGGTTGATTGAGATGTACTTGATTCACATAAGAACTGGTTTAACTTTAATCGGTGAGTCTTTTTTGCTCCCACTCTAACCAGTAAATCAGTCAACAGCTGCAGCAGGAGGGTTTTGGCTCAGGGTCACAACTCTGGTGCATGTTTATGTGTTTTTATTACGTCTCTAGTCAGATTTGAGTAACTGTGCAATGGCATGTCTGTGCAGCAAAGGAGACTAACGGGACGCTTCAATTCAATATGTGATCGATGATTGTTTATAACCCATCGTTATTCTGCATGTTACGCTTGATTGACTTCTGTCATGACATCTCTGATTGTGTTTGTCAAAGACCTGCAATAAACGCTTCTGTGCAAGACATCTGAGTCTCCTGAGAGTAATTTCCAGCATGAGTTAATCTGATCAACAGATTTCCATCATAAAGTCCTGAATGATGTCCAAAATTAAATACGTTTTATTGCTGTTTAAAAGAAAATTACATTCTCAATATAAACCCTGTTGTAGTTTTGAAACCAAAAGACTGTGAATCAAAGCACTCATGACATCGTCCTCCCTCAGGTCATGATTAGAGACATGTCATCATATTCAGACACTCCAGACCAATTTTGACAACATCACAAAGACATAAACTTACACTGTCAATATTGAACTTTAATGGATTCCTAATATGAATTCCTTCTCATGCAGCCAAAGGAAGGGGTAATCTATTATTAGCTCAGAACACTTCAAGTATGTGATTTTCTGAATAAAGCTTTACTTTGCACCCTGAATTTACAGATGTCAAAAGAATATCAGAATGCAGTCCAGAGTTCAGCATCAGTTTTTTCAACCACCTAAATTTCTTTTCTATTGCTGTGACCACAAGGTCACAGCTGTGATGATTCTGCAAGAGCAGTTACCTGAAGACACAGAGGTGGAGCTATGGCATGTCTGGTCACCCGAAAACATCCAATAGTGACGCCCGTTAGAGAGCGACATACAGTTCGTCACAAAAGTGAGTACATTTCTGCAAATATCTTATTATATCTTTTCAAGGGACAACACTGTGAGTACAGAGTGAGTATCCTCCAAAGTGAAACTGTCCAAATTGGGCCCAAAGTGTCAATATTGTGTGTGACCACCATTAATTTCCAGCACTGCCTTTAACCCTCTTGNCTGAGCCCTAGCACTAAACCCGCCAGTCAAACTGTGACACTGATCTACAGACCAAAGAGTGCCCAACACCCTGACGGCCATTATGATGTGCACATTAATAACCAGACAGTTAATATAGTCAGCAAGGACAAGAACTGCCTGTTTCATGCTCTAGCACGAGGCATGAAACCACAGGCCAGTGAAGAAGAGATCGCTTTGGAAGCAAACCGCCTCCGATCGGTGGAGGCTGACACTCTCCTCAGACACCCAGGCCAATGGGACTCTTTCGTCAAGCGCAAAGAGTGGACCGAAACAATCAGAGGAGGGGACTGGTACTTGGCAGAGGGAGCTGCACCATTCAAGAAAACTATAAAAGAAACCAAAAAGGGACTTAAGAAAGATGTTGGACAAGTACAAAAGTACAAACAATGGAAAAAATATGCCAGACAAAATCCAGGATTGGGACGGTTCATCAATGCAGATCACCAGCCACCAGTCAGCAGTATACTGAAAGCTAAACAACTGAATCAGAATAGCACATTAGCAGTAGCCATGCTCGAAGTTGCAACAAACTCATCTCGTTTGAATCGCAATCTGGTTGACAAAGTGAAGAAAAGGCATGGACATGAACTTCCAACTGTTACTGTGCCTCGAGAAATACATTATGAGTTTCCCAGTACAAAATCAAAAGCCTTCAAAACATATTTAGCTGAAACCATAAGCGACAATGATGTTGTGGGCAACTTCAAGCTGACGATCATCGGTTCAATGCCGAGATTCAGGCTGAATAACACCAAGAACTTTAACAACTTTGAGAAAACCAAGAAGAGTTCAACCAGGCTTGCCATTTTTGAGAGCAGTTTTCAGCAACACAGTATAAATCTGGTACAAGAATGGTTCAACCTGCTGAAAGACAAGAACGTCATGACAAATAGTGATCTTACCACCATTACTACATGGATCAACAACAAGGGCTACAATGACATCAATGATCGACACAGAAGGACAGTCTGCAAACTTCTAAGATAAAAAGGTAAGATCAATCACAACATCAAATCGAAATGAAGTGTTTATACTGTACATCATAGTCCTAGAAAACTTACTAAGGAGGTTTTAGGTACATGAAGTAGAGTCACATGTTCATAGAAAACATTAAAAATAGCCATTACAGATCTAAATTAAAAATGAATTTTACTTTACACCACTTTGAGTTCCATAGTGGGCTGCAAGGTGGCNTGGTACCATGGATGACTTTGTGTCTGATTACATTCAACACGGCATAGAGGTGATGGAAACAGGGAACCCTCAGCTTCATCGAGGATTTATCATTGAAGAACAAAGTCTCAGTGCTTCCAAGGATCTGCAACTTCCAAGGCTGACAGATAATGATTCCCTGGTGTTTGCTGCAGAGGTCCTGCAAAACCTCTTGGGTAAATTTCAAAATGAAGACATGAAAGTGAGACACAACTTTATTAAGGCTCTGTTTCAGGTGCTCCACACCGACCTAAGCAAAGACCCAAACACTGAGAATAAAATCATTACCATCTCAGAAAAGACTGCTGGTAAGGGACTGCCTTCTAATGAGGCCTTCATTCTGACCTTCCTTGAGAATCTCCTGAGAGTGTTGACTAGACAAACAGAAGCAGAGAAAAACATGGCATCTCCTGCAGAGAAATGGTGTTTGGAGATTTTGTTTGCCTATGCAGAGCAATTCCAAGCCTCAAAAGAACCAACCAAAGAAATCTTTCACATGGTTTCAAATCTTGAGGCACAAAGACTTTGGTCACCAGTAGAGGCCCTTAACCTTCTTGGAGCATTAATCGACCACCATCATGATGAAGACTGTGTTGCTGCCATGAAAATTTTACATTTGATGGCAACATATCAGGTTTCCTCCAAGTGGACAGATGAGAACAACCAGTCTCTCCAGAAGCTCCTGGATTCTTGTGAAACGGAGAATCTGATCCAGCATTTCGAAAAGAGCCTTCAAGATGAGTCGGTAAAAAGCACTGAAACTCTCTTTGAAGAAATACGGCAGACGAAAGACATTGATGAGCAAACACTGAGTAAATCCTACAGTGCAGTGACTCATGTAACAAATCTCATCAAAACTGGTGAAATTGCAAACTACACAGATGTACAGCGAGCTCGAGATCTCAGTCACAGCCTGGACACAGAGAACCTTCAGGAGCTCCTGGCAGTCTTATGCAATGCTGTACACCTGAAGATGGCTGAAGGGAAATGGTTTCCCAGAACCACTCAGATGATAAGCTGGTGCCTCTTGGCCTTGTCTGAAACTGGGAAGCTCCTAGAGATGGGCACTGGAGAAGGCAAGTCTTGCGTCATAGCAATGTTTGCAGTTCTGCGTGTGCTCAGGGGTGAAAAAGTAGATGTGGTGTCCAGTTCTTCTGTGTTATGTCAGAGGGATGCAGAAGAATGGGCTGAATTCTACAAGTACTTTGGCATTACAGTTGACACAAACACAAATAAAACCGATGATAAAGATCGAAAAGAATGCTATCAGAAAGACGTGGTCTTCGGAACAATTGAAGCCTTCGCTGCAGATTACCTTCGCCAGATCTTTGAGATGAAAGATGTGAGGCCTGATCGAAACTTTCAGTGCATCATTATTGATGAAGTAGACTCGCTGCTACTGGATCAGGGAGTGCAGCTAACCTACCTGTCCAGCCCCATGGTCTCTATGCAGCATCTGAACATTATTCTGGCCATGATCTGGGGCCATGTCAGCCAGTATGGCTTCATTTCTGCTGGACATCAGACATTTGTACAGGGTCCTCCTGCGTCATTCTACAGGGCCATCTTTGACTCAATAGACACAGAAGAAACTGAAATTAAAAATCCAAAGGGCATTTTGGAAATTGCTGAAGAATCCAACACGGTGCCAAAAGGATTCACAGAGGAGATCTTCAACAGTGAAAAGGATCAAATTCTTCAAAAGCTGAAAACAGTGAGTCAGGATGCAATGGTCGATTTTTTCAGCAAAATTGAGGACTACGTCCCCTACGGTTTTAGTGTGTACACGTTGGATGACAAGGGATTGCTCTGTCTCAGAAAGTGCAGCCCATACAACAACAAGGACATTCCAGACCTTAAATTTCTTGTCTTGGAGGAAGGCTTGTGTTGTCCTCTCTATGAGTCAGAAGAAATTCTCATCAAGCCCATTGCAGAGCAAATCTCAGGGAAGCTTCAGTACACCCCATGCACAAATGATAAAGACAAAATCAGCATTCCAGGATTCTTGAAGAGTCTGATAGACAGGAAAGTGTCCGTGTGGGTTGAGAATGCCTTTCTGGCGAAGCAACTGAGACAAGGACGAGAATATGTCGTAGAAAACGACAATGTCTGTCCTGTGGATTTCAAATCCACAGGTATTATAGAGCTGAATAAGAAATGGGGCGATGGTTTGCAGCAGTTTATTGAGATTAAACATCAAATCAAACTGAGCACAGTTTCAACAGTGACAAACTACATTTCGAACATCTCCTTTTTTGAAAAGTACCAAGGGAAGATATATGGAACAACTGGGACTCTTGGGAGCAACACAGACATCCTGTTTTTGCAGGAACTATATCCAAATCTCTCTGCCTGCAGAATGCCAACATTCAACAGGAAGAAGCTGTTTGAGGTCACAGGTACTCTGAAGACATCAGCTGAAGAGTGGAAGTCTGAAATAAAACGTGTGGTTTTGGCTGAGATATCCTCAAATTCATACAGAGGTGGAAGAGCAGCCCTGGTGATCTGTGAAACTATCAACAAAGCCAAAGACATCCACGAAGAGCTGAAAAGCAGCATCCCAGGTGAGATCATTCTCTACTGCCGAAGTGACAAAGACAGTTTGAGCAAAATACAAAAGAAACTGGGTCCTGGTGATGTCATTGTTGCCACAAATCTTGCTGGGCGTGGCACAGACATAAAAGTGTCTAAAGAAGTAAACAGTAATGGAGGACTATTTGTGGTCCTCTCCTTCCTTTCTGACAGCACAAGGGTGGAACTCCAGGGTTTTGGTCGAAGTGCTCGTAAAGGTAAACCTGGATCTGCTCAGATCATCATGTCCACTGAACACCTACAGCAGTCCTTCTCAGCAGTGTCATCTCTGGAGGAAGCTAAGAGCACAAGAGACAGACGCGCAGCAGAAATGACAAATCACATGATGAGCGATGTCTCTGAGATGAAACTGCGGGAGGACCTGTTTTCAGAGTACTGCAAGACACTTCGAGATATTCATGAGAAAGCAGATGGAGATGACAGAAGAGCTGTTGTTGCCATTGTGAACGAGTTCTGGGGGATATGGTTGCAAACTAAATCAGAAGACATTGAACAGTTGAAGAGAGATGAATTGCAGACCAGCTTGAAAGCTGATTTGTCATTGGCAAGAAGTCAGTCTCAGAGTCAGACTTCACCATGTTCCAGCATTTATCACTACATCAAGTTTGGAAATATCGCTATGAGTGAAAAACGATGGGACGTCAGTGCCAAGCTCTTTGAAAAAGCCATGAAACAAGATGCAAGCTGGGCAGCCATAGCCTTTTACAGTCATGCGTACTGCACTGTCAAGCTGAGGAGTGAAGATTACCTCACTAAGGCCAAAGATGATCTAATAAAGGCTCAGGAGTCTCTCACATATCTCAGTGAGGAATCCATAGTGTGTCTGCAGTTTGTAAAAATGTCCTCTGCTGACTCAGACAACAGTAACCCAACTAGTCTTGAAAAACAACTCACAACCAAGGGCAGCATGTTGCGGTACTTGGACGAAAACATCAGTAAAGCCATCCAAGAGTTGGATAAAATCAAAGAAAGAGACAGAGATGCATTGGTCAAAAAGTCACCAATTTTCACACTGGTGCAGAGTGCTGATGAAGATTATGAAGATCTCCAAGTGGAAGCCTACAACCTCTACAGTCAAGGTCTAATATATGTATTTTCTGTGGAGGAGGAGCCTCGTTTCTCATGGGAAGGTCTGGTGGTGTTCTTTCTTGGAATTTTACAGATCATTGCGGGAGCATTGCTCGCTGTATTCACATTTGGCGCATTAGCTCAAGTCGGCATGGGACTTATCACTGAAGGAATATCAGACTGCATCTCTGGTATTGAGGCCATGGTGACTGGAGAGTTCAGCTGGAAATCATGGGCTATCAACAAAGCCATATCCATTGGTATATCTCTCATTGGGTTTGGAGTTGGAAAGCTGATTGCAAAGGGCTTCAAGGTTTGCAAAATGTTAATTAAAGGATTAGGGAAAAAGCTGAAGGCATTGCCAAAGATTTTCTCCGGACATGCTAAAGACGGTTTAAGTACTGTCGCAAAGACAAATTTGAAGAATGCACTCAAAGAAACTACTAAAAAAATGGCAATGGAAATCATGACTAATGTATTAGAAAAGGCAGAGGAGGAAATACTGAAAGCGATAATAGAAAGCCTCAAAAAGGATGTAAAAAATGGAATTGTTGATGAAGTGAAATCCAACATGGAAAAAGAGCCTTTAACTACATTAGTAGACTCCATTATCCTCTCACACATTACAGATAAACAGCAACTTCATGATCTCTTAAAGGACAAGAACAGTAAAAGTAAACTGCTGTCAATTTTCACAGAAATAAGCACCACTCAGAAACAGAAACTCACTGCAGATCTCGAATGGCAGAACAAGCTTAACTCAGCCTTTTCCAAAGTGATCAACAAAGCCAAAACAGAAGCCAAAGGAAAAGTTCGAGGAATTCTGACAGCCATCCAAGCTATCCACATGACGGTATTGGCAGTAGACGCCATCCAAGCAACGGCCACCCTGTCCAGCAAGTTTTTCTCAAACCTTTACGATCATCTGAATATATTTAAAAAAACAAAGGCTTCTCCAGAGAAAGTGAAGGTAAATGAGCTGTCTGCCTCAGACATTGAAATGCTGAAAGAATTCAAGCAGGATGTTGCTGACATTATCAGTGTTTTATTGGCTGATGCTGTCGTAGAAGTGTTCCACCAGAAGTTCTCCAGTCACATTGTTTCTCGTGTCCATGACAAGGTAAATGGCATCATTGTCGAAAAGGTAACAAAAGGTGTGAAGCGTGTCAGAACAAAGGTACAACTCAGAGCTGAACAAAATAAAAGATACATCTCATACATGCCAGGAAACCTGAATTCTATAGAGCATAAACTTACAGGAAAGACAGGAATGAAACCACAGGCCAGTGAAGAAGAGATCACTTTGCAAGCAAACCGCCTCCGATTGGTGGAGGCTGACACTCTCCCCAGACACCCAGCCCAATGGGATTCTTTTGTCAAGCACAAAGAGTGGACCGAAGAAATCAGAGGAGGGGACTGGTACTTGGCAGAGGGAGCTGCACCATTAAAGAAAACTATAAAAGAAACCAAAAAGGTACTTCAGAAAGAGATTGGACAAGTACAAAGGTACAAAAAATGGCAAGAATATGCCAGACAATATCCAGGAATGGGACGGTTCATCAATGTAGATCACCAGCCAACAGTCAACAGTATACTGCAAGATAAACAATTGACCCAGAATAGCAAATTAGCAGTAGCCATGCTCGAAGTTGCAACAAACTCATCTCGATGGAATCCCAGTTTGATTCCTGATGTGCACAGATATCACGGCCGTGAACTTCCAACTGCTACTGTGACTCGAAAAACACATTATGAGTTTCCCAGTACAAAATCAAAAGTCTTCAGACAGTGTGTAGCTGAAACCATAAGAGACAACGATGTTGTGGGCACCTTCAAGTTGACGATCGTCGGTTCAATGCCGAGATTCAGGCTGAATAACACCAAGAACTTTAACAACTTTCAAAACACCAAGAAGAGTCCAACCAGGCTTGCCATTCTTGAGAGCAGTTTTCAGCAACACAATATAAATCTGGTACAAGAATGGTTCAACAAGCTTACAGGCAAGAATGTCATGTCAGATAAGGATCTTACCACCATTACTACATGGATCATGAACAAGGGCTACAATGACATCAATGATCCATACAGAGAGCAAGTGTCCAACCTTCTGTCATGAAAAGGTAAGATCAATCATAGCATCACATCAAAATAAAGTGTTTATACTGTACATCATAATCCTAGAAAAACATTTTACTTTGTACGATTCATGACATAGAGTCACATGTTCATAGAAAACATTAAAATAACCATTATAGAACTCAGTGAAAAATGTATTTTACTTTACACCACTTTGTGTTCCACTGTAGAAAAAACAAGGCAACTGTTACTTGATTATTTTTCAAAAAGAAACTACACAAAATAAATTAAAGACTATGTTTGACAATAATGACCCTCTGTAGTCTTCGAGAAACCTGATAATAGTTCTATTGCAGAATAGGGGTACATTTAATATCTGTTAAACAGAACAAAACAATAATCAATGCAGTGGATAAGTTGGGATTACTTTTCAAAGAACTCTGATCTAGTGTCCAGTATGTTTGGTCAACAGGGACCCTCGGATCCTGTCCAGGACGCTCTGTCATGTGACCTTTTCCAAGCCAACAAGGACAGATACCAAGATGCTCAACTATGCCAACATGCTTACAGACTGAGAGTCAAAGAGAGATGGAGGCATTAAATAGACAGAGACAACTTGACAACATCTAAGTGGCTTAACTTGAAACCTTCCAGTGCTATGTCTATGTGGGCCACATGAGCTGATGGTTGAGCTCTTCCATTGGCTCACCACTTCTTTATTTTGCTTTTTATATTTTGCACTTTTTGGTTTGAGGTTAACCTGGTTGGGGCTAGACTGTACATTGTTTGGCATTAAGGAGTGCGAGGGACTGGGGTTTACTGTTCATAAAGCATTTATTTCCAAGATGGTACTGGCTTCTGTATTTTGTTGTTTAGGGAGACAGGAGCTGGTTTAACCTATCATAGCAAGTTTTTGCCGCTCAGTAATGTATTATGTTTGTTTTTCAACTGTAATTCATCAGTGAGTGCTTCTGCATATAACTTTGTGGTTTAGTTCAGTTTTTCTTTTCTTGCTCTCGTCTAACGATTGATTCATGAATTTAAAGGAAGAAAACAAGTATAAAGACTTGATAAGATGACATAGGCTTCAAATCTGTATATGCTTTTATCCAAATATATATGAATTCTCGATTTCTTCAGCACGTGTGATGAGTCTCAGAACGAATAATGATAAATCATCACATGCTCATGTTCAATTAAGTTTCTTAAAAGCATGTTTGAATCATTCATTGCTGTAAATGTGTATTTGTATTAATGATGCAAATGGTTCAGAATTACTTTTAAGTCCGTAATGAAATCTGTGTAGTCTTCAATTGTTGAACACAATTAAACAGATGTAAGTTTGTATGACGTCAAATTTGACATTTTAATTGAAGTAGAAGATACAGTTTTTTGATCTCAGAATTGTTTCTCAAGTGTTGATAACTGATCAATGAAAATGGTGCAACTTATCAAATGATATACTGTTTAATTAGAAAATAGAAAGAATATATCCTCTAAAGTGCTTTTTGAGTGTAATGATTTGAAGATGATGATTTGTAGACATTTCCATAGACTGTCACATTTACCATGATTTGTTTTACTGTTTATGCTGTTTTATTTACTCTTATTCACTTTTATTGTTAAAATGACAAATTTTCTAAGGATGAGACAACAAACTTGTAAGTTCTTAATATAATTGCATAATAAGGAATATTCATATAAAGTGGTGTAATCTAACTACATCACTAAAATGGTTGATGAAAATCCTTTAATACGTTCAAGATACATGAAGCAGTGTGGTTGTTTTCATCAGGTTGATTGAGATGTACTTGATTCACATAAGAACTGGTTTAGCTTTAATCGGTGAGTCTTTTTTGCTCCCACTCTAACCAGTAAATCAGTCAACAGCTGCAGCAGGAGGGTTTTGGCTCAGGGTCACAACTCTGGTGCATGTTTATGTGTTTTTATTACGTCTCTAGTTAGATTTGAGTAACTGTGCAATGGCATGTCTGTGCAGCAAAGGAGACTAACGGGACGCTTCAATTCAATATGTGATCGATGATTGTTTATTACCCATCGTTATTCTGCATGTTACGCTTGATTGACTTCTGTCATGACATCTCTGATTGTATTTGTCAAAGACCTGCAATAAACGCTTCTGTGCAAGACATCTGAGTCTCCTGAGAGTAATTTCCAGCATGAGTTAATCTGATCAACAGATTCATATAACTCAGTGTTCCTGAAGAAACATTCTAACTATGAATTATTTACAGCTGCTGTTTATTGACAAAATAACACAAAACGTTAGATGTATGTTCTCATATAAAATACACAGTGTTCAGAAGAACATTTGTCATGTGAGTTCATTCACTTAATACTGTGAGCTCATACACAACATCTACTGAAGCAGACAGTGATGCACTGATCCTGACAGGCTGACTGCATGTAGACAAACACTTTTGTTCATATAATGTATTTGGGCAGTTTTCCTAATCTTGGCTCTGTGCACAACCGTAATGGATTTTAAATGAAGCAATCAGCAATCAAGATGTGACTGAAGTGTAGATTTTCATCTGTAATTCAGACTTGCATTACTGAAGTGCATGTTGAATTAACCGAATAGGAGCTGGAGCCATTTTGGCCATAGACCCTCGGTTTTTATGGGCTCACAAGTAATTGGACAAATAATAAGCCGGAGCACAGTGAGAGAGCCCGGCGGGCACAGGGAGAACATGCAAACTGTGCACAGAAAGAGACCAAGACCTTCGAACGGTGAGGCGGCGTGAGTCTAAGATTGAGATTCCAGGAGCAGCCATTAACAGAGACATTGGTATGAAGCAGGTCAAATAAAGAGAATATGTATTTTAAAGTAATGTAATCAAGTGATTATTCTTGAGTTTGAAGTTGATTCAGATGCAATAATGATTAAAAAGGATTCTTTGTAACCAGCAATTCTAACTGCAGAGTTGTGAAAGGAAAGTAAGTTTCTAAGTGGGTAGCTAAAAAAAGGAAGTGGTAAACTGTCCTGTCAGTAAGCACGTCCACAATTGCCTGTCCTGACAATAAACATGTCCACAATTGTCTGCAAACACGTCCACAGTTGCCTGTCCTGACAATAAACATGTCCACAATTGTCTGCAAGCACGTCCACAATCGTCTGTCCTGACAGTCAGCATGTCCACAATTGTCTGCAAGCACGTCCACAATCGTCTGTCCTGACAGTAAGCATGTCCACAATTGTCTGTAAGCACGTCCACAATCGCCTGTCCTGACAGTAAGCACAGCTGCAATTTCCTTATAAGGTGTTGTTGGAAGTTGAGACAATGTCTAAGTATTGAATACTACGAACCATGCTACTGAGCTAACTAAGTGTGTGTGCTGCAGTTTAAGGAAGCGTGTGTGGGAGGGGGTAAATATACGTGTGTGTCTTTGGGGGAATTCAGAACAGTATATACATGAGAGACTGAGACCCTTTAAACGGAGTTCTTTGTGGACATCGCTGAAGTTGGATCTTACTCCACTAAAAGAAGAGCCCCGATCAGTCTGCAATTATGCTTGAAATGGAATAGTAGAATATTCTCTCTGCTCTATAGGAGAAAGCAGAAGGAGCAGCCCGACCGGGCCACTCAGCCTGTGCTAGGAAAGTCCGGGACATGTGGGAATATTGGGACTTTCCTCAACAGGCCAAAGGTAATACAAAGGATTATTACAAGACTGAATTAGAATTGGGACGGCTCCACACCCTCTGTCTGATGGAGAATTCTTAGTGGATTATTGGGATTCTGTACGGGGTTTTTCACCTTCTTTAGGAGATTGTATGGCATACCAGAATCAGGTCAGGACCGGATAGGTCAGCTAAGGCCAAGCTGTCGACCCTCTCCCTTCGAAGTTACACTGTTTAGGCAATTTGTTTAGAAAAGCTCAGCTCTGTATTATTAATAAAAATGGTCAGTTGTGATTTTTATTCTAATTGTAATTGGATGTTTAATCAAGAACTGTTGCTAAGCCCATGCTACTAATATTCAAAAAACATTTATTTTGCATTTAGAGAAATATAGTTCAGATTCTTAATTAGGTACGTAATGTTCTCGGACTTCTGATGGTAGTAAAAAGTTCAGCAATCGTATGCATCAGATCCTTGATGGGTCTTAAAGGTTGTTCGAGTTAAAGATGACTAAAGAATTATAAACGTATCCCTGGAGTTTCCAGTCCTAACCTATAGATTAAAACCTAGTGATTCACCAAGAGCCAAGTCCATTTAGAGGAAAGCTGTCATTAACAAATGTGACTGATGGGGTGACTAGATGATGAAGGCTACTTAGTAGAGTTCACCATCAGAGTAAGAGGGGTAGGCGTTTGGATGGAGGCAGTTAAAAGCTAGTGAGTTTCCTCGACTCCAGCGTAAGCTGTTTTACTGAACCTATTAGGCCTCAATCCCATAGGCAGATAGACTCTAACCCTAGTAATGGAGAGCTGGACCAGTTGCCCTGTTCAAGGGTATACTCAAGAGACTGACACACTGCATAAAATATTTTTTGAAGCTAGAACTTTTTTAAGCGAGGCGAAAGATGCAGCTTTGGTGTTCCCTTAAAATAGTGACAAGTGGAATTGGTTTGATGGAACATTTGCAAGGGGGAACACAAGCACTGTGATAAAAAAAAGCATGATCCACTGAAAAAAAACAACTATCAAGGCTGTTTTAATGCGCAATTCAAATTGTCAGTGTTGTTGAGGTTGTACAAGCAGTAACATGCAGATAGCAGAAGGAAAGGACAAAACCGGCTGAAATGAGCCCCCGATGGCAGACTCACACCCTCATCCGACATCTGATGAGTCCGACTACACATAGCCAGGCCGTTGTATAGCGCAACCACAGATGACATATAATCTCTAGCAAAAAGTGGTCATTACTCAGTTTATATCTATCCACAGTTGCTTTTATCAAGAAACCAGACCCCTTGAGTCCATCACCTTTTGTCATTTATTAGCAACTATATGCAAACCAACCACTATTCACTTCTGTATTTTTACATAATGTACCCTCCCTACACGAAACATCTGTATGAAATGTTGCACTCTGCCTAGATCTGCTCACCTTCAGGGACTCACGCTCCGTGGTGGTGGATCCACCCACAACAGCATGACTTCGCACGAGGACTAAGAGTGAATTTCTTTGACAGCAGTTGGCGTGACAAAGATTCAGGGGACGGTAAGGTGCTTTTGTATATGTAACTCCAATTTAATAGAAAGCACTGTAGGTTCTTGTCAGTTTGTACTGAAATGTGATCAGTAACTAAAACCAAAGAGATTCCTCCTAAAAGAATGCTTTAACATTCTTTGAAAAGGCTTTGTTCAGACGATCTGGCCTATCTTACCACCGCACTGAAAAAAAAAAAAAAAAAGTAATTAAAATGCTTATTGAGACAAAACGTTTTTCATCATTACGGTGACAACAGTGGATTGACTCTCTGTAAAACAAAACAAACACTGAATTCACTTCATCTGAGCTAAGTCAACTCTTAGAAACTACAGCCAGTAAGGCCTTGGCCATTGTCATAAGGTGAGAACAGACAAACATGTTGTTACTATTTTCTCCTGTCTGGAGGGAATTAAAGGAGTCCAGCCTGTCAGATGTTTTGAGGGGTGGCCCATCAGTACAGGTGTGTGTAATCTGTATGTATGTAAGCTGGTTTTTGGCATTGGTTTATACCCACCCATGATATATGAAGTGTTGTGCAATTGTTCATTGTAAAATATGAGCATGTTGCATTTTTAGGATACCAGTGAAAAGACAGTCCTGGTTTTTTAGTATGTTCATGTTGATGACTTTAGTTTTCTGGAAAACTCACACTGACTCTTTTTCCCA